GTGTGTGTGTGTGTGTGTGTGTGTGTGTGTGTGTGTGTGTGTGTGTGCGTGTGTGCGTGTGTGCGCGTGTGCGCGTGTGCGCGTGTGCGCGTGTGCGCGTGTGCGCGCGTGTGCGTGTGCGTGTGCGTGTGTGTGTTATTGTATTTGTTGTAAGAGTTTCTCTGTTTCCTCATAATTTAACAATTTTAACCATTTCTCTATCATCTTTCTACATTCATAATATTGCATTGGATATATATTTAGCTCCTTGTTTAATTTATTGTACAGCTGACTGGAACGCTTTTTATACTGCATGCTTGCAAATGAAGTTTTTGTTTGAGAGGGTTGTGCTACTATATGTTTTCTCCATTTTGCTTCTATGCCTATATCATACGGTAGGTTTTTGTGTTTTTTTAAAATGATTTGTTGCAAATAAAGTTTTCTAACCGAAAGTAAACCATAAGTAAGGTACAGGTTATCTGTGGCGTAACTACGTTTTTTAAAATACATCACCTTTAGTAGACCTCGCTGTGCTCGTTCTACCTCTATAAATTTAGATTTTGCTGCACCTCCCCATATGGGTATACAGTACACTAAAACAGACTGCACCAAGGCGACATATATTTCATTAAGTAGATGCTTATGGGAGTCTTTTTTTCTGGTAATAGTTACTGGTACAATATGTCTCAGCGATCTGAATATCCAAATTAGCTTTCTAACCCTGTTAGAAACTTGTTCAATGTGTGGGTACCAGGAAAGTCTTTGATCGATAATAATACCTAAGTATTTCATTTGAGTTACTTTGTCAATAACCGGACAGCCACAATGTCTATCATTTATATTACCACATGAGTGAATAGTAAGATTAAAATTTTTACTCGGCTGTGCACAAATGTTTATACCAAAGCATATGTAGTTGGTTTTAGAGGTGTTCAGTGTGAGGTTACTTTTCAGCCATGTCGCTACTCGACCCATTCCAACCTCTGTGCTTGACTTTACTGTGTCCCAGGAGTTGCCATAGAAGACAATAGCTGTATCATCGGCGTATGAGAAAAAATTGGCATTTTTGATCCGTAGGTTACACAGATCATTTACATAGATCAAAAACTGGGTAGGTCCTAGTACACTTCCCTGTGGGACGCCGTATGATACAACTTCATCCTCACTAACGTATGACCCCATTTTGACTCTTTGCTTTCTACTAGAAAGGTAATCTTTTAGAAGAGTTAGTGGGATTCCCCTTATTCCGATTTTTTCTAACTTGTTAACAAGTATTGGAACAGAGACAGTATCGAAAGCTTTTTTGAGATCTAGGAATACGGCCAAGCACTTATTTCTTTTATCTAATTGATCTGTAACCAACGAGCTTAAGGCAGTCACAGCATCCTCTGTAGATTTCCCTCCTCTAAAACCAAATTGTGCCAGTGATAGTATATTGTATTTCTGTAAATAGTTCTGCAGACGAGAATTAAGTATTTTCTCCACGATTTTGGATAAAGCCGGTAATACGGAAATAGGTCTATAGTTATTTATATTTTCTTTTTCTCCGCTTTTATGCACTGGGGTTATAATAGATTGTTTAAGTGAATTGGGAAAAACACCCCTACAAAAACAGATATTGACCAGATGGGAACAACTTCTTTTCTCACATATTTTAGGTATTTTGTGGGAATATTGTCCCAGCCCGGGGCACTATCAGATTTAAGGTTCATTAAAATTCTATCCACCTCATTAGGGTCGGTATCTAGAAGTACAAAAGAATTGGGCTGCGTAGCCAGTCTATCAGAAACACCAGGGGGATCATTGAAGGTATTTGATATCAATTGGTCAGCTAATTGTTTGCCAATATTAACGAAAAAGCTATTTATAAAATTTACAGATTCTTTAGGAGTTTTCTTTATATTTAGTAGTTCAATGTTTTGTGTTTGTATTTTATTAGTGTATGTTATATTTTTTATATTTTTCCAAAGTTGTTAACAACACAACACTATTCGTGTTAACAACAATATTCATGTTGGTTATGCTAAACAAACACCAATTAGAAAATTGCAAAATGCAATCTTCAAGGTACGTCATCTTCAAATAAATGAACAAAGTACTGAATATAATTGGGAAACTATTCACTTTACAAGTAGTAATTCATCAATCAAAATATAAAAGCATGTCAATATAACTTACTGTGCCTCTTGCAGTGTTCCAGGTTTGACTCCAGACCCGTAGTAGGCCAGAGCCGCCAGACCCATTGCTGATGCTCCTGCCAGAGCACCTTTGCCCATGCTGAAAGCTGAAATGCAAAAACTATTTTTTTGACTGGTTGTCATTTTTAACTCTTATTTAATTTAATCTTTTATTTGTTCCCCTTCTGTTAAATTAAGTTTCTGTTGTATTTGTTTGATGCTGCCTTCTCTGATCTCATCTTCCTACATTAGTTTTGATTATAGTGACTCTCCCTACCACCCCCTAAGGTATACGAGAAGTGCGCTATAATCTGTGCATGCACAGGAACCTCCTTAGTTCAGGTTCTGACCACAGATCAGCCAGTGTACAGGTTTGTCACTAACTTCATCTAATTCTCAAGAGGCTAGTGCCTCAGGTGAGCTGCCCCGGGTGCATGTACAATAGTCTCCCTATTTTCTAGAAAGGTACCGGAACTATAGGCATGTTCACTTCCTGTTGCGCATTGCACAGCTAGCAGTTGCCACCGCTAAGCCCTCGATTGGTGCAATAACGAATATATAAATTAATTTAACGTTTTTAATTCAACTACACTACTATTAATTTTTATGTTTTCAATTTAACTACACTATACAAGCTCCATTATCTACAAAAGTAGCGGTGTTTGTTTGAGTGCATTGTTATTATTCCTAAGTAGCGTGAAGATATCAAAATTACAATATGCTATTTGTTCAACTACAGGATGTGTAGTCTGCTTTGCTTAGATTATTTATTTTAATTTCTTTATTTTTAAAGTTGGATTTTGTAGCCATCAGATTGAAACAATATATGGAGGATCTTGATAACATTTATGAGTTGGTACTTGAATTTGACCCCCAGCATAAGTGATGTGCCCTTAACAAGCGCTTTGTTACTTCTTCGAGCTTAATTACATTAAATTAAATTACAAAAATTCTGTTGCATTTGCATCAGCTTCCCTTCCATTTCCTCCATGGGGCAGCTGGTCCCTCATGAGTATGTTAAACCTCTTTGCGTAAACAGACTAACATTTGATCAGCATAACTTGTAAGAACAGACAGTTGATAATCGGGTTATCACAAAATGTATTGTTGATATGTAAAGTTGTAATAATACATACTTATTTATATATAAATGACTTTGAACTTGAATATTGTTCCTTACATTTATTTAAGTAAATTAAATTAATTATTAAGTAGTTAAATGAGACATCTTACCGTTGGGACTTGCAGGTGCCATGAGCCTTTCCCATATCGTTGGACGTGAACGCGTTGCAACTCTGGAGCGGGCCTCACGAGCGTAATTTCTCACCACGTAGTTTTTGGGCACATATTTTACTGGCACTGGGCTTTTCAGTACCTGAGACACACTGAACGCCGTGCGCGATGCACACATTCGAGAAAACATGGTGAAAATCTAAAATAGGCAATGAAATATTTTACTTATTGATTGAAATATCCTGTCATTGTGATTACCATAAATTATTGTTTATATATTACTCACTTCAATACACAAGGCTTTACAATAAATTTATTTCAATTTACACAACGAACTTGTAACTATGAAAATTATTGTGAAACTGCAGCCCGGTGAAAACGAATTAATGATTCTAGAAAAACGGGAAGAATCTATGTGAATCTATGCTTATAAAATCTAGAATATACGGTTGAGAGTTGCTGCGAAAAAAAAACATTTAAGTCAAAAAAAAAGTACTATCCACTAGAGATGGTTAATATAATATATATTTCAAATTATAACGTTACATTAAAAAAATATTATTGCAATTATAATTTGAAAGACATAAAGGTGCTAAAATTATAACGAACTTTTTTTCACTTTGGATTTGAGTACGTTAAGAAAATTAAACCAAATGCCATCTAGCGACATAATTTTACAATATTTCAATGCCATACCATCAATTTACATCCGTGCTTTATTTACGCAGCTAATCAGCTAACAAACAAAACCCTTCTTCGACCTGAGTTATCTCCCTTAATATTTAATAGATGACACTATATTCTATGTGACAATTGAGGCTCTTGTCATTGGTTGAAACAATTATAACGTGAAATACTTTCACATATTATTTATAGCATTTAACGTTTGGTGCGAAACGCGTAATAGCCGATTGGTTTATTGGTGTTAAATTTCACGTTTGAGTACGCAAAGCGCTAATGCTATTTTTAGCACTTAGCAAGTATTATAATTGTAGTTATGTTATAAATTATAATTTTGGTTACGTTTTAATAAAATTTTGAGCTAAGGGTGGAACGTTAGCAAAATTTCGTCTTGTGAAGCGATTTAAATTAAGATATAATTAAGTACTTGGATTTATTTACTTAGTTTAGCGTTTATTTAATTAATAAGTCGTTGTAATTATAATTTGTATATACGAGTGTATGCTTTATTATTAATTATTATGAGTGTAATTTACTGTAAATAACCAGTGTAAAGTTTTGTATAAATTGTAAATAGTAAATTGTTAAAGTACAAAGGGAAGCCATTGATTTATCGTCTATAACCTGTAGCCACCATTATATGTAATAGTTACAAAACAAATGAAGTCCGTCGTAACTAACCATAAAAAAACTGAAAACTATTCTATAGATAGACCATAGATACTATACTTAACAAGTTAGCGCACGTCAACTATTTCACGTTTCTTTCCATTCGTTACATTATCACACGACCTTCAGCTGCTAAAAATTATAATTTTAACATTTCAAATAGCGCGCTATGAAAATTTAGCATTTAGCATTTAGCGTGCTATGCGAATATAGCAGTTAATATCATCTCTACTATCCACACACATCAGGGGGTCTACTCTCGATCTCCGTCTGAAATAATTACTGTGAAATAAGTAATATTCGACAAAATTAAAAGACAAGTATCAAGTATGAAGATTCATTCGTATCACGCGTCTTTTCATTTGGTCAAGTATTGCTTATTTGGCAGTAATTGTTTCGGACGGAGATCAAGAGTAGACGCCCAGGGCCGTGACCGAAACGTGGACGGGGCGTGCTAGTTTGTATGAACTGCGGACCCGTCCCGTAGCCGGCCCGGTCACGGACAAGTGTGAACGAGTTCATACAAAATATACGCAACGATATTTTTTTGAGCCCCTGACGGAGCACGGCCCGTCCACGTCCCGGACACGGCCCGGATATGTGTGGATAGACCTTAAATAATGTTGGTGATGGACAAAATAATTCTAAATCTCGTTTTTTTCAGTGGCATAAATACAAGATGTTTATTGTCGTTTATTATCGATAAAAAATAGTTTAACATTTTAATTCACGATAGATAAAATTTCAAATGATAATGATATATATCGAGTTCTCAGGTTTTCGCGATTGTTACACATAAGAAATGAAACCATTTTTCCGGATTTAAATCGTGTATATTTGTTTTTTCAAACAAACCGACGACGTTTCGGGCCCTTTACAGGTCCTATGGTCACGGTTGACTGATGGGACCTGTAAAGGGCCCGAAACGTCGGTTTGTCTGAAAAGCAAATATACGCGATTTAAATCCGGAAAAATAGTTTCATTTTCTAAATTTAAAAAAGTTACTCCGTGACTACCTTTTTTACATTTTTTTTCCAATTATTCAAATTTTACCTAATTTTTCGGGATTTTTCCCGGAAAAAAATTCTACTACATACATATTTTTCGGAAAATTACCCAACAGTTTGGTGGTTTTCTTGAATCGTGGTGGTGTAGTAAACAGTAAACTCCAAAATGACATGACATTGACAATGACATTCGTCTCATATTTTTATATACTATAGCTATACGCGCACGTGTTTTCTCAAAACAAATGTTTTACCTTTGAAAATTGTATATAATAAACTTGAAACAAAAATGAAAAAGTTTAAAAGTAAGCCTGTTCCTCTCGTTAACTCAGAATCAGGTAAAAAGTACTCGCTTGTGTATAACATGTTTGTTTATGAGCAGATGTTAACATAGGACACATTTTTAGGTTCAGATACAGAAGAAGATCTAGATCCAGAAGTTCACAAGAAATCATTGGAAAAGTTAAAAAAGATTGATCCTGACTTTTACACATTCCTTGAAGAGAATGACGAAAATTTGTTGAACTTTGAAGCTGATTCTGACGACGAAGAAGCAGACGTCGAGAGGGATGATGATGACCAGATACACACTCCTGGACCTCTCAAAGGCGACAGTGATGAGAGTGATTATGACGTATGTTACCTTATTCATTCCATTGCTTATTATAACCACAAATCACGGCACATTTGTTGGTTAACCTCTGAAACTGAAAAAGAGGAACAACTTTAGTAAACGTGATGTCAGAGGGGGTGGAGGGGGTTTGAGGGGGGGGGAGGTCGCCTCCCCTCCTCTGCAAAATTTCAAAGTTAGGACGTTGATAGTTTTCGAGATATTATTTTTGAAAATTCGAAAAAAATAACCTCAAAATTATACATTTTCGCACCAAATGCACGGAAAAATGAGCAAAAAATGCGGGAATGAAAGATAGGCGAGGGGAACTCCCCCACGAAGTTTCAAACTAAGAATATGAATAGTTTTCGAAAAAAAAAAATTGTGAAAAATAACCTCAAAATCATATATTTTAACCTAAATAATCCAATTTGTTTCTGCCCAGAGGGACTTTCGTGATTGTGATTTTAAAAATCTAACAATCTTTATACACAATGAATGACAACATAAACACGCAGTGAAAACACTCTGTAAATGGTTAAAACGCTTACCGTGAAAAGCCAAGAGAAATAAGAAAAAAACAAACATGATAAATGATGTTGCGTTTTATTGTTGAAATTACATAATTGTTATTGAATTATCATTAACTATTTCAAAGTAACCTTCTTAAGAAAGAATATTTTAAATATAACGTAAATGCTATTAAATAAGTAATAGTGTTTAGAAAACCAATAAAACATAATATACTTTCAAAATTTAAACAACACATGATATAATTACAGTGGAATGTCGAAACGCAAGACACTATATTGCGTCAGCATGCTTTTTTAATATAATTTTCACATTAGGTAGTTGTCAAATGCGTTTTTTTCCTTTAATTTTCACAATTTTCAAAAATTATTTTCTCGAAAACCTCTGGCGTCCTAGAACTGAAAATTTGAGGAGTTCCTTTTGGCTAGGTCTATCTCCAAAATTAATTTGAACGCCCAACTCAACGTCACATATACTAAAGTTGAGCCGAAAAAGATGCAATGTTAATCCCATTTTAAAATACTGCAATAACAAATATAGTTTAAATTAGCACCTAATATAAATAATAATATATATTAATAGCCTTTGTTGCTGATACATTTCTCAAATGTTGCAACATAATTCATTAATAAAAAATGCAGTATAATTTCATTAATACATAATGTAAAAAATAACCATTCTTAAATTAATCCTAAAAATAAAACAAGAGACAAACTTCCAATTGAAAATTAATATTTGATTAGTTTCAACATTAATAAATCCGTGTGCAACATTTTTCTATAATTAAATTACCTCCACATCATCAGCTTGTCTCTCGAAATAGGCGTCCTCCAGAGACTTCCAGTTCTCTCTGTCCTGTGCCTGACATTGCAAAATTCATTGCATTCCAAAAGAAAAGGCGGCTATGAACAGGAAAACAATGTATACATTTTGGTGTGAAGCCAGGAGACTCGCTTTGATGATTTTTATGCCAGAAACGCAAAATGCGAAAAGGGGAAGAAAGTCAGATTAGCAGAATGCCTGAGTAGCAAAATGCCAAATGTCACTGCCTGGAACAGGCCTCATCCTGATGCATGATCTGATGTCCAAGAGTGGACGTCATTTGTCTGAAATAATGAAGCGAGGTTCTGATGTTTTATTTTTTTATTAACAACAAAATGTAGTTTCCTTTAACTTCTAAATAACTGATCTTCATATCTTAAACAAAGCTTGCTAACTAAAGTTTAAATTTAATTAATTACACTTAAGATTAATTAAAGAATTGAAGAATTAGGTAAATTATTACTAACTTGTATTGCTATATTAGTATGTCCACACAATTTTAAATGTATTATTTTTAAGAATTCCATATTGGTTATTATTTAGTAGTTAATTGACACTACATTTTGTTTTTAATAAATGAATACCAATATAATAGTAACACTAATAATAACATTGGAACCTCGCTTCATTTTCAGGCGAATGATGTCCGCTACTGGACATTATATTGTGGGTCAGGAGGACGGCCTATTCCTGGCGTCGATATTTGGCATTTTGAGTATCTGGCATTCTAAGAATCTGGCATTTTGCTAATCTGGCATTCTGGTGATCTGACATTCTGCCCCTTTGGCATTTTGCATTTTTGGCATAAAGCGTCAAAACGAGCAGACTCATAGCACAGGTCTAACCTACAACCTTTTGCCTATGATTGTTATATTCCTAGACTACATGATTCCCTGAGACCACGTCGAAGATCCGGTTGAAGTGCCATGTAAAGAAATCTAGGGAATAATACTTTTGCAAACAATATCAAATGAATCATTTCATTTTTAAGAAAACATGGTTTTTCATATTCATATTCATTCATATTCTTTATTGCACACCATAAGTTACAGAAGATGTTAAAACATAGATAAGTACAAATTATGGACCCTGTCGGGCACGGCAAGATAGGAGAGTGGAAGAGTCGTATTTAAGTTTATTTAATATTATTTTTCATGTATTGAGTCTCATTATGTATTTTTGTTTATGGTGAGACTTTTTTTATTATTTAAGTTTATCATCTAAGAATTCTTGTAGCGAGTAATAGTTTTTGTTATTTAATAATCGTTTCAGTTGGTTTACAAATGACTTTGCTGTGGTTGTGTTTTTTATCGAGTCTGGCAATTTGTTATATATTTTTATGGACATTACTAAAGGGCCTGATGCGTGTAGTTTGAGATTAGAAGTAGGAAGTATTAATTTGTTTTTATTTCGTAGTGAGTATTTTAAGTTTAAATCACCTTTTTTTTTGTAGAACTCGGAGTAATTTTTGACAAACTTACATATTTCCAGAAGATATATACAGGGCAAAGTTAGTATTTTATATTTTTCGAAAAGGGGTTTACAACTTTCAGTACTTTCAATGTTAAATATTATACGGATTAGTTTTTTTTTGCATAATGAAGAGGTTGGGGGCGTCTGTGCTGTTTCCCCACATGATGATCCCATAGCTGAGCCACGAGTGTGCGTATGCGTAATAATTTTTTTTCTATTACTATATGTATATAAGTACTAAATGCCTGTTTCCAGGATGAAGATGCTAAACCAGCTAAAGGCAAGATCACACTAAAACTTGTGACACAGTGGCAAGCTGAGCTGCAGAGTGAAGGAAAAATAAAGCTCACTACCCTTACCACTGTGATTAAAGCTTTTAATGCCGCAATGTTGAGAGCCACCAGTGAGGATGGCTCTTCTGAGGGGGAATTCAAAGTGGAAGGTATTTGGAACAATCCATGGATAAATAAAATATTTATTAACTTGTAATGTTTAATTTAAACATATAATAGTTATTGTTGATACATTTTTAGGTTATCATTTATATGTTAGTGAAAGATGACCAAGTAAACATTATAAGTATTCTAAACATCAAAAGTTTTGTTGTTTGTTATGGCAGAAAGTCTGAATATGCAATTTAAGTTTCTAAGTTTAATTATATTTCAGGATCATCGGTGTTCAATGCAGTTATTCAAATGTGTGTTCTGAATTTACCAGCTGCTATAAAAAAGTACTTAGGCATGGAGCAATCAGGAAAAGATCCTCAAAAATGCAAACGTTTTGTCAAAATCAAAGGACCTTTGGTAGCTTACCTCAATGACTTGCTAAAACTTTTGAGTGGAGTCACATCTGAAAACATTTTAACTGTACTTTTGAAACATTTGCATCAAATGTCAGTATTCATTGCATGCTTTAACAGAATAGCTAAACAAGCACTGAAAAAATTGATCACTCTTTGGAGCAATGGAGAGGAAACAGTGAGAGTTTTGGCATTCCTCTGTATATTAAGGATAACAAGAAATCAGCAAGCCACTTTACTTGACCTAGTATTGAAAGCTTTGTATTTGACTTTTGTGAAGAATTGTAAATTTGTCAGTCCAACAACCTGGCCTGGAATTAACTTCATGAGGAGGTCACTGGTAGAAATGTTTACATTGGACTTGAATGTGTCATATCAACATGTTTTTCTGTATATTAGACAGTTGGCTATACACCTGAGGAATGCAATAGTTGTCCAAAAAGTAGAGAACAGACAGGCTGTATATAACTGGCAATTTGTAAACTCTCTGCACTTATGGGCTGACTTGCTATCAGTGTCACCAAACAAGTCCCAACTGCAACCTCTTGTATATCCCCTAACAATGATCATAACAAACACTATCAAATTAGTGCCTACACATCAGTATTATCCATTAAGATTTCACTGTGTTGAGATATTGATAAATCTGTCGGAGGAATCAAATACTTTCATACCCGTACTACCATATCTTGTTGAGGTAATGATTTCATGTTGATTTAATTAAAGTAGTATTAAAATCTATCCAAATTGTTCCATTCACATTATTAATTTTTCATTTTCAGGTATTAACATCTTACGACTTCAACAAAAAACATAAAAAAGTTTCCATGAAGCCATTAGACTTCTCCTGCATACTTAGATTGGCAAAATCACAACTCCAAGAGAATGGTTTCAAAGATTCTGTCATAGATAGGATATATGGACTTATGTTGCATTACACAGCCAATGAATCACATTCTATGTCATTCCCAGAAGTTATGCTGTTAGCAGTTATGCAGGTACTACTAACTTACAAATGATTTCTTCCATTTTTTTAGCTTAATTTTTATTATGACAATCAATATATTCTCTTCTTGTCCCTGGTACAACTAGATACACTTATTCAGAAAACCACATTAACTATGTTATAGTTAACCAGACTACACTGTGGTAGAGTTCATTGGATTACTTTTAACTTAACTGTGATAAAAATTACTGAATGACAAATAAATTGTACTTAGATATAAATCACTAAGGAAACACAGGATACTTCAATACCAAGGGCAAAAAAAGTTATTTTACGGAATGTTAAAGAAAAGTATATAATTATTATGAATATTTGCCAAAATATCCTTTAATAATGGTCGAACTGAAATAAGTTACATGTTTATTATATTGTATACCACCTTGCAGATAAAGCAGTTTTTGAAAAGCTGCTCAGTAGCAAACTACACAAAAAAGATGCGCCAACTCCTAGAAAAACTTGAAGAGAACTCGAGATTCATAGAATGTGAAAGAGCTAAAGTAACATTTGATTTGAACAATACAAAAATGGTAAACGCCTGGGAAACCAGTATTAAAATGAATGGCACGCCATTGATGGCATTCTATGAGAATTGGAACAAAATAAACAAGATTCAGAAACGTAAGAAAGTTTCCAAGAATGATGAGCTTGCTGGAGACCTGCCATCTATTAAGAGGCCTAGGATATCTGAAGAGTTGGTAGTAGCTACTAATAGCAAACCAGAAAGGAAAGGACCTTTAGTTTTGTTCCCATCGGATAGTGAGGAAGAGAAAGACAACTTTAACCTTCATGATGAAGACATTTCCCCAATGGCAAAGAAAGTAAAAAAAGTTAAAAAGAAGAAGGTTGTTAAAAAAAAGGTTGCAGTAAATGATGATAATGATAAAATCCCAGATGAAATAGATGTTGTACAAGACTTTTGTGCCAGTGATTGGTAATAAAAATAAAACCAAATTCTACTAACATCAAAATCAATAAAAGAAGTGGGAAATATAGACAGTTTTATTGACTAAAAATAAATAACTCAATGTTCTAAAATAATTAAAAGTAAGAACACAATAGATAGATGCGGTAAATATTAAGGCTTTCCATGCAGGAAGTAGGTCCACTGTACGCGCGGCTCGGCGGGTTCAAGATTTTCGATGGTGAGGCATCCGGTGGGTGGATCTTGGCGATCGATGCGGTCGTTCAGGTACACTATCACTTTTATGTCCTGAACAAAATGTTTTATATTTATATTCTAAAGGACTAACAAATTTTTAGTAACAGCTTGTGAACTGAGATAGTGTTATCAAAATTAATAATAAACTCAAAAAATCTCATTATGATGAGGGAAAAAGAAATGCCTGAATCTGCCGTACATTTCGAGTTCTTAGATTTCCGCGATTGTTACACATAGGAAATGAAATTATTTTTCCGGATTTAAATCGCGTATATTTGATTTTGAAACAAACCGACGTTTCGGGTCCTTTACAGATCCCATCAGTCAACCGTGACCATGAGACCTGTAAAGGGCCCGAAACGTCGGTTTGTTTGAAAAAACAAATATACGCGATTTAAATCCGGAAAAATAGTTTCATTTCTTATCTGCCGTACATTCTTTGAACAGCACTTTTTCAATGCATTAGATTTTTTCGTGATGTCTATGAAGTATTCCTTTCAGCCGCTTATCTTTTGGAAACTGAAGTTGTCGAAGAGCACTCACTGCATGCATTGCGGCATTTTCAAATTTGCGATGAAATTTAGTCATAACAGAAAATTGCCAGCTAGCATTCTCTGGCTGGCTGGCACGTTCTTGAAGATTCTCATATTCCTTGCCATTACAAGTCTACAGAACAAGACGTGATTTTTAGACATTAAATTTCGTACGCAATGCCCACGGAAGAATAAAAGCTCCATCGTTCATTGTTTTTTTTGCCTGTGTGCCTTAAGCCTCGGTTACTACCAGAATCGCTGTCGCCAAAACTCGCGAATCTTGATAATTATAGTCTCACGGTCGTATTCTAGAGCTGTACTCAATGCTCAAGTCAGGACTTGAGTATGATTCAAAGCACTAGAAATCATACTCAAGTCCTTGCCATTAGGGTTGTATTTCTAATGCTTGAAATCATACCCAAGTCTGCTCAAATCCTGACTTGAGCATTGAGTAGAGTTCTGGAATACGACCCGTAGTTTCTTAAAGGTGTAACAAATTCTGAATTGTTAATATAATTTAAACTTTACACTGTTGGCATATCTTCTTCGATGTTTTGATTTTTTATATGTATATTCTTCTTCTTTTAAATGTTATGGCTCCATCGAAATAATCAATGATTTTGCCAATGTCAAGTAAAAATAACTATGTACGGTAGTTTATATGTATATTGTTTAATTAAAATTTCAATCAATGTGCTGCCATCTAGCGGTCATGACAAATTCGAGATGTTTACTTCTGCACAAAAGCGACCATATTTCAGCGGTATAAAGACTACTTTCGTTTCTTGTAACAAAAAAAATTACGATAAACAGATAATAAAAATTAAATTAAATAAGGCTTAACGATGTTATGAAACACCACAGTGGATAATATTACAAGTGCGACTATCATTATTGCTCTCCAAAGTAGCAAACCGAGGCATTTTTTTTCGTTCGTTCTCACTAGTTCTTTTGAGTAGTTCTATAATACTCCTAGTTCCTTAGTTCGGGAACTCCTTTTCAAATAATTTTATAGTTAAATTAATAAAAATTAAGTAGTATGAGTGTTACCTGATATTATTTATTATTTTCGAGATAAAAATAGAACTAAGCTAATGTTAACTACTTGGAATTATTTTAATTACTATAACTACTGGGACAAAAACTTTTGTAGTTAATCGGAGAACAGTGGGAACGAACTTTTTTTTTTATGATTTTCGAGGTTTGGCGCGACATAATTTAGATGACTACTATAACGTACAAAGCGAAAATGGCGGACTGAGCTCAAGTATGTGGTACTTCATGGACTTGGCACACGTGACACGCGAAGTGTTCACTTCCACTGATATTGTTCTGTGGCAATCACAATAAGTCAATAAAATTTAATTACTTTATAAAAGTTAAACAGTAACCTACCTTCTTTGCTTTGATTTGTTCTACAGCAAATTTCACGTAGAACTCTTCGTTATCAACAAAAATCTTAAACTTATGTGTGTCGTCAAATATGTTCTTGAACTTAATTTGCGTCATTCCGCCTGCCTTTATGTGACAGGGTCCTTGAGGCGTTGGATACAGTGCTGTCCCTTTTATGTTAAATCTGAAACATAGCTTATCTTGTATAAGATATAGTATGTACTGTACTATGTACAACTAGTGTTGGGTAATTTTCCGGAAAATTTCAAATATTGGAAGTTTATCAGGAAAAAGTACAAAAATAGAAGACTCATATCATGTTCTACGTTTACATTTATATCTTTAATGTTTTAGTTGGCATGAAATATAAAATAAATTTGTGTGAATATTTATACAAATTTAGTATAATAATAAAGAAATAATAAAGTAGCAATGTTACTTTAAATGTAATTTTCTAAACCCTGCCTGCATTGGTCAATGCATGCCTAGGTTATTTTCACATATTCTTCAGAGTTCAGTATATTCAACTTTTGACAGGTGTTACTGTCAAATGTGAAAAAATATAAGAAAAATATGTACGTTATCCTAAAAATATTTGTTTTTCTGAAAAATAAGATTTTTTTGGAACGGAATTTTTCCATGATATGCTCTAATCCTTTATGTAATCCTTATAAAAAACTTACACAAATTCGCCTGCAACGGTGGAGTTAAAGGATATGCGACAATTTTGAACACCCAAATTAATGGGTTCAAACCAAACCAGGAACTTCCCTTTCTCTCCGGGCTGAAGTACATAGTCTTTATCCATTTGTATACATGGATGTGATAACTGTAATAATTGTTATACCTCTTAGTCTTTGCTTTGTATCTACTCTGTAACTGGTTATGTAATATATTGCAAATAACACGTACTATGCATTCAAAATCAGCTCTCGTCTCACTCCTATTTTGAACTCGAAGTCTAATCGGAATGCGGTTCCCTAAAGTGGTAGTGAAATCTAGATGTTTCTGCTTAGCCGGGAGGCAAGTCAATTTTACTTTATACATATATACTCCTATAAGATCGTTATGTATTTCTAAAAAATCTTCTGCAGTACCCACTACGAGTGGGGAATATGTCATGGTTAACTTTGCCTGCAAATGTGGAAATCATGTAGAAAATTTATTTTATTGAATATCATGTTTTTACTACAATGATATCATCATCATTTTTTGTGAAAATACTCCACTACTTTGTAGTCGCGGTGAGGCAACAGACACTGGTTCGTGTCTAGTCGGACCGAAATATTTTTTTTACGTTTGTTCGACCTTTGTGCCAATAATAATAATAATATGAAATAGCTCCGTGATACTTATTGCTGCTATCAAGTTTGTGAATAACAAATTATCTGTCAACAGAATGAATATCATTAATATATAAAAGCAGAACTACGATGTACTAAATTTGTTTACATTAGAATGTCTGTTAATATGGACGATATCGACACATTCTAATTGTTCGCATTTGATGTAGAAGTCGTCGTCGTCGTTGAGTGGGTTCGTCAGCATTATCTCTTGTTGAACGGACTCGCGCGCTCGAGACACGAACGTGAGCGTACCCATAATCTGGCTTGGAGTCACTATGGCCGTTATGTTGTAGAACTGGTATTCTTGCGATTCCTCGTTTATAAACATCACCTGTAAATGTTTTAATTTTCATTCAAATACGAATTTTATTTCTGATACTTTCGATGACCGAATAATTTTGTAATTTCATTATTTCTTAATAAATAAGCAAAAAATACAGTGAATAGGGACTTGTTATTGTGTGGACACTCTACTACATACACGGCTAAGGAAATATTGGAATGCAATTATCTTGTCTAATGAGCCACCAATCCATTTAAAAAAAACCATGCGTATAGTAAAGCTTGTTTATTAAACCTCAACATGACGAATCTTTCTATATTACTTATATTTTAGGATATATTAATTAATTCACACTTCTATAGTGTCTGAACTGAGGGACCACAAATGAATTTTACAATCTTCCTTGCGATTTTTACTAATGTTTGCAGGTAAATAATACCTATATACATTTTATATTTATTTATTCATTTATACGTTTTTTAAATGTGATCTCTCAGGGACCATGTAAAGAACAGTGTAATAATAATATATAAACATTTATAAAATAACGTTTTGTTCATTGTGTAAATGTTTAAAGACGTTTTTTACTAAATTTCTATTAACAAACTATGCCATCAAACTAAATACTTGCCCAGAAGTGGAAGCTTTGGTGTAAGTATTGAGAGACCGCACCTTAGGTGGTATAGTTTTTTAATATATGTATTCTTTACAAACACCAGGATGCGTTTTACAAAATGCTTACAACTGTACTAAACCTTCGTGTCCTTATTATAACTGGCAAAAATCATGTGGGCCCTCAGTCCACACACACACACATCCGAAGCTTGGGGCCTCGTTCTCCGTCCGAAACAATTACTTATTTGGATAAATAATACTCTACCGAATGAAAAGACGCACAATGTGAATGAAGTTTCATACTTGACATTGTCGTTTAATTTGATCGAGAATTACGTATTTGGACAGTAATTGTTTTGGAAGGATGTCGGGCGTAGAAACGAGAGTACCTACCTACCTACCTTTCACTGACAATAAGCTTTTACATGACTAGTACTACAAATAAGGAAGTTTGTATGTGGTCAGCTCGTGGCGTTAAATTTATGGTGCTTAATTATTCTTTATCTTCAATTGAGATCTAATCGGTTTATACCCGCGACACAGGATTTCCCTAGTGCGGGGCTATGTCGAGTGTGTTATTATTATTATTATTATCTGGACAATGAAATTCAGGGCAAAAAGTGTTTTCAAATAGTGAAAATTCTTCCTTCCCTATGCGATGATTTTCATAAACGCAACTCGAAGTTATAACGTTCAACGAGTTCATTAGTCAAAAACGCCACTAATGTGATACAACTGTGCAACTTTACGGTATTCTTTTTATTTTGCCAATATTTCGGAACGGTTACCATGGAGCGTGTAGCCGTTCCACAATATCGGGAGAATAAAAAGAAATCATACCATGGTAAGAAACCTCCCAACTAGCACACAAGCTCTATAACAATAGCTAATTTGAAGTTCTTATAACAATGGCATAGGCTGCATAAACAAGTTCAACAGTAGATGTATAAGCGGCTACAGCGCTGCTGTACCTCCAAAATGGGCACCGATCTATATATATATATACGCTATGGGTCCTATAATGGTTGTAAATGTGTGTTAGTGCGAAGATACAAAGGTGCTACCTATGCGAGCGGTTAATGCGAACCGAAGTAATACAAGGTGCTGAAGTACAAGTAAACTTGAAATGCTGTGGAATACACTTTGAATCCAATTTGCGTGGATTTTGGAGCCGTGTCGTTTTTCCATAAGTACATCTTCATCTAACACGTAGTCTTCAATTTTGTAATATGACTTTTCGATCAAAATATTTTTAATGTAGTTTTTAAACTTAGGAAATGATAAACTTAATATATGCTCCGGAATGTTATTGTAAAAACGTATACAATTCCCCATAAAAGAGTCGTTTAGTCGTCTACGGCGTAAATTATGTATATTTTTACGGGCATATAAAATATTTGAGTAAATGTACTGTGATGCCACAGTCATGATACCAGTCTCCTTAAACTTTTCTCAGAGAAACCCGAGAGCCTAGACGGTACACAGAACGAATCGCTCGTTTTTGCAATACAAATATAGTTTGAATATCTGCCGCTTTACCCCACATGAGAATCCCGTAGGACATTTTACTATGGAAGTAACTAAAGTAAACTAGTCTAACAGTACTAACATCGGTAAGCTCACGTATTCTGCGGATTGCGTATGCAGCGGAGCTTAATCTGCTGGCCAGGGAAGATATATGTGGAAACCATTGAAGTTTACTATCTAAGGTGACTCCCAAAAAGACTGCTTTATTAACAAGGTGTAACTTTTCTCCGTTTATTTCTATGCTTGGACTAGTCGATTTTACGTTACGTAATTCAAATTTAACACATTTTGTCTTTTTGGCATTAAGCAATAAATTGTTAGCATTAAACCAATAAACTACCTTTGAGAGGGTATCATTAATGTGGTCATAGTTAATGTCATATCTGTTTTAAAAATCAAGGATGTGTCATCAGCAAACAAAGTATTGTTTTTATTTCGCAATGGTCCTAACAAAGAATGGCAGATCATTAATATAAATCAGAAATAAGAAAGGTCCAAGTATTGAGCCCTGCGGAATACCCATTTTTACCGGAGAACCCAAAGAAGTCACTCCATTTATGTCTACTTTCTGAATTCTACCGTTGAGATATGACGAGACAAGTTCTGACGCCTTGCCATTTACACCGTAATGTTCCAGCTCCCTAATTAGAGTAATATGGTCGACGCAAGCAATTTGAGAGGTCACAGAAAACACAAATAACGTTCTGAGACCTTTTCCAAGCATCAAAGATGTGTTTTAGTAACGCTACCCCCGCATCACTAGTCGATCTACCACCAGTAAACCCGTATTGTTCACTATGAAAAATATTATTCCTGCCGAAATAGGACAGTAATTGAGTCAACATAACCTTTTCGAATATTTTACTTAAAGTTGGTAAAATTGAAATGGGCCTATAGTTGCTAGGATCAACTTTCCAACCACTTTGGAATAAGGGAATAACTTGCTGTATTTCATTAAATTGGGGAAAAACACCTTCGTCAACGCATCTATTGAAAGCTACAGTTAAATGTGGGGAAATCAGATCAATAACTGAGTCTATAATTTTAGTTGATATGCTCCAGAGATCTTCAGTTTTTTTAACATGTATCGAATTTAAAATATTTTTGAATAATTTCTAACATATATAAAAACGAGACCTACTCTTATGAATACCTACTGTTGCCCAGTCGTTGAATTTCGTCTCTCAATGGAAAGTTAATGTTTTCGATTTAAATACGTTATCAAATTCATTTTTAATTAAACCAAATATCGTGCTATACAAAGTATTTGGAGCCTCCGGTATATGGGGCAGGGAATTTAAACGATTGCCGATATTATTTTGAAATCTAATGATTCGTTCTGTGGTAATCGGTCTGCAGAGAAATTGGTCTACCTTCTTGCTAATTTTACAATTAAAACAAGCAAATTGGCCACTATGGTCTGATCTTAAAAAAAATATTATTGATTTAGACACAGGGTCTATGTTACAAAAGATATCAAATAAAAGTAGAACAGGAGGCAGTGATGCGAGTTTGTTCTAAGAAAAGATTAATCAACTTAAATTTTTTGCATAAATTAATGAGTCTTACAGAAGTAGAACAGCCCTTAATATTAAAAGATAGCAAACTAGCTATGTCTCAGATACCTTATGGGTAAAAGTAAATTATCCTCAAAAAGTTTGAAGTTCTTATGAACTTATTAATGCCAAAACAAAATATAACGTCTCTATGACGGCAAGTCAAATTATGAATATGCGAATTTATGTTACATGTATACTTATTATGAGTGATGCCTAGGTTAGAGCAGTAAGGGAATGCACTTAGTATGAATTTACACCCACACTTCTCATAAATTCTCAAGAACACGTCAATACTACTATCTACTTCTTTTTTACTAATCTTATTACTATCACCTATTATAAGAATCACTGTTGTACATTTATCAAAGTTGCAACCACTTAACAGTGTAATAATTTGACTAAAACTAGCTCCTGGCTAGCAATAGTTGACTACCCTTTGTTTTAAGTGGTTACTTAGGTGGTGGTAGTATTGATATTCTATTATATGGCTATGGATATTCTATTAACTACTCTTGTTCTACTTCAGTCGTTACAGTGACCATACGGAACGGATTTTTTACGCTTTTTGCTGTATAAGGCGTGTTTGTCTCGCCTTAGGTTCAATTTGTATTGCGGCGGAACGGAATGGAAGCGAACTTTTGTAGCGATATTGTACATAGCATAATGAACAATACAAATGAATGAATGCTCGAGAATGCTCGCGCAGTTCGCAGATTTTGCCTCGTATCTAGTTTGTAGGTTACACAATTGATCATAAACTTCAGTATGCTATGTATAATATCGGTACAAAAATTTGCTTCCATTCCGTTCCGCCGCAATATAAATAGAGCCTTATCAAGCTAGGTACCGAAAACTTGCTGTAAAATTTTGAAATATAACGGATATAGCATTTCAAAGGCTGTTAGTAAAATCTATTTAACAGATCAAGGCTTTACAAATATACAATATACCATCTGAAGCGTTTTAAACGAGACTAATAACTCCATTCAAACACTTCTAATTTCTAAAGCCCTCTACAAGACTTCATAGTGTTATAAAAGGTCTGGCCTATTCAGGAACAGGCCTCAATGGGATCAGTGACAACGAGGCATAGACGCCTTTGCAAAGGTGCATCCTTTTATTTATTTTTATCTTTAAGAATTGTCGTGTACAAATATCATAAGTGCTTTTCCAGAAATCTATTCGTCATGACCAAATCCCAAATGCTAGCCTTCTGGGTCGGAATTATGGCAGGAATCACGACAAACTGTTGCTAAACAAAACACTATGGTAACCTCCAACCAAATATACCTTTATACCTTGGTTTATTAAACAACGCAATTTTACGCCATTAATGTCTTTTCAATT